TCCAGCCGGACTTGAACCATTGACCTTGACTGTGGAGGGTATGGGAGCTTAACCGCTAAGCTATGGGACCCACACCCCTGTGAACTTTTATCTATATTTTTGTTTTTAGTTATATATAACATTTGTCATTCTATCTTTTTTGTTATAGGCTAAAATGTTGTTTACTAGTATGTTTCTGTATTGTTTTTTGTTTTTGCTTCTTAATTATTTTAGTCAAAAGATCTACAAAAGAGAGTACATTGCAAAAAAAAATATATATATATATAAACTTGATATATTAGAACAAATTATATATAATATTTTTAAACTATCTGAATTAAAAGTTTAATAACAAAACAAATATAAACTAAAGTATTAAAAATGTGTTATAAAGTTAATACTAGGATTTGAATGAATTTTGCAAAAATATAATTTTGTTAATAAGATTATAAAATAAGTAAATTAATTAATAAAAGAATTTTTTTAATTTTACTATCAAATAACATGCTTTAAAATAAGTAATAAATTAATTACAGGTTTAAAAAAAATTATATATTACTAAATAATATATATAAGTATATATAAAAGATTTGTAACAGATTAAAGTTTAACAGAAGCAAATAGGCTTAAATAAATAATCTTCTAGTAGATTATAAATACAACATCTAATGTAGAACCTTAAAATGAATTACTTAAATAGGCAACCAAAAGTTACATGCATAACTAGTTATACTTTTATTTTTATAAAAAATAGTTATAATAATTAACCTTAAAATATTAATAAAATACTACTGTAAAGTATGACCTAAAAAAAACAGTAACACAATTACAATTAATTAATTAATTGCAATTTTTGCTAAAGTTTGTAAAATATATAATAAAACATATATTAAAATATATTTATTGACCAAAAATTATATTTTCAAAAAAAAACATATATAAAGAATAAAAAATCACAAATATCAAACAATCTCTTTTTTTAATAACCTGTGCAATTTACTTTTCTTTATGAAGACACATATATCAAATAGCACTCTAAATCTCTATTTTTAAATTAGTTTTAATGAGCACAAAAGTTTCATGCAAGTGTTACATAGAAGCCTTTGTTGCAGATTATGTATTCTAAAACTTTATCATAACAAAATTACGATTATTTGCAATTAATTTAAATTAAATTGTTGGTTATAACAATTTTACTTGACCATAATTGTATAATAATTAATTGCAATTAAATTTTCGATACCCGGGTAGCACCAACAGAATGACTCGAGTTATAATGGTTGTGCCATCATCAAATACAATCATTGTTAAAATAACTTGAGTCATTCTGTTGGTTCAGTCGTCGTAACTATCCGGATAAAATAGAATTATTATAATTACTACTGTATTTGAATTTTAATCGTATATAACTTAGATGAAAAAATTTATAAACTATTAGTAAAGTAACACAGGTTAGCCGATAAAATTAATAAAAAAACCTTTTTATTTCAAAATTTTGCCTATGAGACCGCACTTAGTGCTCTAAGAAAAAAATTCTACTCATCATTTTGGTATAGGTTTGCCTAAGTCCTTCTATTTCAACCCTAACATTAAAAATCTGTTTAACTGTCACTTGCTTTTAAATTTTCTGCAATCACGTGGAACAAATAAATATGCGCGTGGTAAATAGCATGCGTAAAGATTACCTAATTTTTATTACAATTGTACTATGTATATATATAGCTATAAATATAACTGATAATGATACGTAATAGTTAAATACGCATGTATATATATAACGATAATAATTGTAAATATATTTATTTTCGATAATTCTATATCACTACTGTTCTATACCATCACGATAAGCAATATCGATATGATCGTGGACGAGTAATGAGTATAAATAATAAGTAGAATGACAATTACATAATCCAAAGTAGTGGTCATTTTTATACCAAGATCAAACAAAACATGAAACTCAAACATGAAACATGGTACTTGGTGTAATTGATCTGATCTTCGTATCTCCCACATGGAAGATGATCGTCCTTACCGAACAAAAGCATTTTGTTGGGTCGACAAACCCACGTCATTCGTCATTTGTTAATATAGAAAATAACAAAGATGACATATAATATGTCTATAAATAGAATTTCGCTAAGTTCAGTAATTTCCTTGTTTTCATTCATCTAATGCTAATATTACATGCATTAACTTTGACGTTCTTACGTACGTCGTACGTATATATCGATATGTCAATTATTGTTATGTTCTTGTAAATGAGCACACATGTGTACATTATATCTTCGTTTAAACCTGCTTTTATTTTATTTTAGTTTTTTTTGTTTTCCTTTCTTTTTAAGTTACTTGCCTATATTATTTAAATCGTACGCCACATAAAACAACCACGCATGCGTGTGATTAATCCAATTTGAATTATGTGTTACTGTAACAGTTCCTCGATTCATATATATATACAGTATATATATATATATATATATGCTCATTTTCCTAGTTATTTTTTTTGGCCTTTGCTCTTTTTTCTTTAGTCAAATTTTCCCCTTCGGTGAACGTCTTCGCATATCATTTGAAAAAATATAGTCAATAAAAATATATATATATATTGATTATATTTTAAGTTCTTGGTTTTGTGTTTAATATATATACGTACAGCTATGTCACTGCCAAGATCATCGCGAAGACGTTCTTCCGTTGTGGATGGAGACGAAGATATTACAAAATTACTGCTGGCAGCAAAAACTCAAAATATAATTTCTAAACGTCGTGGATCGGCTGTTTCTATAGATTCTATTCCACCTAATTCTATCATGATTGATGCTACTATTACTGCTACGAAAACCATCCCCTCCTCCAGAGATAAAATCGCTATTGATATGTTATCTTCAAATTCATCTGATTTATCTTTAAAAACGCATTATACATCTCCTAATCAATTTCCTGCCAATGGGGAAGATACATTTTCCAAAGTCAATAAAAAAAATTTGTTGTCTCGAACTTTATCACAGCATGTTCAACAACAACAACAACAATACCTACATTCGAGATCTTTATCTCAACCGATTCCTTCGTTCTCACAGCAGCGGCCTTTAATTCATTCTGCCAATTATGATAATCATAATCAGTATAAACTACGAACTGAATTATCTTCGAAAAAATTATATCGATTTTTTGGTGATAAACCTCCCATCGATATCTGTGTTAAAGAAATCGAGAGAGAGGGTCTTAAAGCTATGTTACATTCCAAAATTCCTTTATGCTATTTCTTATATTCATTGCTCGAAGAATATTCCTGCGAAAATTTGTTCTTCTTTCTCGAAGTAGAACAATTTGAATCATTTGATTACTCAAATTTAGCTCAACAATATACGATAGCTCAACACATATTTGATACTTATTTAACGAGAAACTCTCAATTTGAAGTTAATATTGATGATAAAGTTAGAAAAAGTGTTATATCATTTATTAGAAGTCAACGTGATCTAAGACGTTGTTTTGATGATGCTAAGAGAGCTGTATTTGTACTATTAGAGTCTAGCTTTACTAGATTCATTAGAAGTAGTACTGCCGATCTTATGAAAAAAGAAATAGGTAAATATAATGAAATGTTTGTACTTACCTACGTACGTACGTACTATTTTGTTCTTGAATATGTTCCATAAAAGTTGTTTACGATTGTTTATATAGGTGAAACGACTACTCATTATTCTATAAAAGCACGTGATTCCGCAATATCTTTGCTCCTTAGTTTTTTCGATCGTCAATATTCTTCATCGCAGTCATCGTTGGTTGCTCTGCATTATAAAAATAAATCATTCGTTCATTACAATTCTCCTTCAAATCCATACGTGACTCCTCCTTCTTCAAATGGCACTTCTCCAATACCATCGCCAACTTCAATGATCTCTCATAGACGTATCGAACTAATCAAATCAATGATTTATGAATTCATTAGAACTTTATTAGAGGTTGAAATTGAAAACTTGGATAGGTTAAATAGGACTGGTCATCATGATCCATCAAATAGTGGTGTCCCTTGTAACCACTTGGACAATCTTAATTTCTTATCGAATGATACTGGTAACTGTTATGACACGCGTGGGGATGATCCGTCGGCACAGTTACGGGTTATTAAACATCGTAAAAGTGGTAAAGAACAATTGAGAAATGCGTTTAGACGTCGTTGGTAGTTACCTCGACTTTACACGCATATACGTATATATACATTAAATTATTAAAAGAATTAGATTAAAATAGATTCTTAATATAATAGATATTATCTTTATATATATTGCGCGTCAGATGGCAAATCTGCAAAAATTATAACCATACCCTCCAACTCTTACTCTAACTCTTAGACCGGACGCCATCTAACGCACGGATTCATATGAGACACAACACATAGTAATGTTTAAATATTCCAAAATTTTAAATAACGATAATGTAACATGTATAAAATTCAGATTATATGTATACTTAAATGTTTATTTTTATGTATTCTTAAATATGGTGGAGTTTTTTTATTTATAATAGACAATTCAAGTCTTTCGAAATTGCATTATTTACATCCTTAATTACATTAGTCAGTCATTCATTTTTCTTAGACTAAGTTTAACGGAATAAGTTAAACATAAAAAACATTAACTTTTGAAAAATAAAAGTTTCAATACACTAGGTTTTTTATATATCAATTATTAATGAAGTAATTCAGAAAGCCAGGTAGTAATTTACTGTATATGTGTCACATGAGTTTTGCTTTACAAATTTATTAGTAATCAATTTAAATACTACTTTAGATGACCTCCAGGAATGGTAAATGACCTAATAGCTAGTGATCAGTCATATTGGTCATTTCGAGACGTTCATTAATTAGTGCTTCTAAAGGGTTGTGTTAATTGGGTAACCTGAATTAAAAATCTGAACCAGAGACCAACTCAAGCAAATTATCCAAAGAAATATATATCTCTTTTATTTAGATAAAAATTTTACGAACATAAATATGCGAAAAGGAAAATCTGCTTGCGCTACTATATTATTCATAAATGTAGAAAAATACTCTCGATTTCCTTCAAAATATCCAATTCTCTTTTCTCTATTTCCTTTCCTAATATTGAATTTATCAGCTAAAATAACGCCTAGTTCTTTGGCTACCTCAACCGCCTTTTTGCCATATTTTCTATTCGTAACTATCATAGCCTATAGCAATTCTTGATTTATGGAGCAGCAGCAATTCTTTAAAGTTCGTTTATGTTAGGGTTAGGGTCAGGGTTGGAATCAGAGGAGAGTAGTTTATATAGTAAAATTGTCCAACGAAAACTTTTATTAGAGTATTAAAGGTGATTTCTTATGCTGATTTTTTAGAAGTAAGCGATTCTTGACGTTTGTTTTGAATTTTCTTGATCACGCCTGATCTTGAAATCTGATTCGTAGTTCAGGAAACCTGGGACAGGTCGTTTGACATTACACTTGCCGCAAATTGTATATGCTACGCCAAAATGTATAAACTAACGTTAATAAAAAGTTGCAATCAAAGAAATGGATATTAAATTTTGTGAAGCAGATGATAGTAAACTCAATAATTAACGATAGTTATTGCTTTTTTTTATTAACTCGCAAAAGTATTCTGTTCCTTTTATAAAAAAAAAAAGGCATACCAATCGATAGGGATGGTATTCGGTCGGCTTTAGACCATGAAATATCGTCGTATATGCACCAATCGTATTTTTTTGAATGATCGTCGCCAATAAGATCACTAGATCAGGTGTAACGTGAAAATCACGCTTTTTTTAAAAAACAGACACAACTAAAAATTTTGACTATGAAACAACTTTTTGCACTCTAATAAAAAAAATTTTTCGTAAAATTTTGATATAAAATATGCATATTATAATTTATATTAACACTAACATGAGGTTTTAGTACTTTAAAATATTTTGCATTTTAAAGTTGTTTTGATTATTCAAAAAGATCTGATTGGTAATTAGAAAGATAGAAGCTTACTTGGAAGACCCAAGTAAAAAGGTAGCCTGAACTTTTGATAATGCTACTGTCTTTTTTTGAGGTTTTTCATAAAAGCTTTTTAAGTTTTTCTTTGTTTGTTTTTTTATAGGTTTCTTTTGCAAGAATTGTTTTATAAAACATAATTAGAACTTATAAAATCAAATGAAAATACAACTTTTAAGAAGGAGTTGTTGTAATCAGTTAGGTCATCAGGATTTGTTTTGAAAAAAAAGATTACATGTTAGAAAACATGTAAACCAAAGATATAATTGTATTTATTTTTTTAAATTATTTGAACTAAACACTTGAATTAAATATCAAAATAGTAAAAATATATTGTAAAATAAGTATTAAAATTAAAGTAAACTTTATAAAAACATAATGGTTTAATAATACACTTTGATCACAACTATTAGTTTTTATTATAGTATTATCAAGTCAGTTATAAGAATGAGATACAAAAGATTCTGAAAGATTTAATACAAAGTCAAAGATTTTTTATATAAATAAACTACTTTAAAAATTTAGTAATCATGGTATATTTTTACTAATATTGACTAAAGTTATTGATAGGTATAATTAGACAGATAGATATAGAAATTAGAATGTTTAAATAAGAAACTTATAAGCAGATTTCAGATATAATAACTAATATAGAACCTTTAGACAAATTATTTAAATTAGACAATGATTAAAGTTATATAAATGTCTAGTTATATATATATATATATATATATTTTTTTTTTTAAGATAACCTCTTTGGTCCTAGTTATATATTCTTTTCATAATCATTTTCTATAATTATAATATAAATATTAGCTAAATATATTATTAATAAAATCTTAAGTTACAAGTATTCATCATAATATTTAAAAAAAAAAGATTTGATTGGTATATATGTCATATTTGAAATAATAATTTATCCAAACTAACTATTTTATATATTTAAAATAGCATTCTGATTAAAATTAAAATCTAATATATATATAAAGATCTAATTTTAAAAACTTAATTTAGATAAATTATTATTTTAAATATAATATATATAATGATTTTTTATAGTTTTATTAGAATAGCTGTAATATATATTAATATTGTAATTTATTTTTATATATAATAATATTTTTTTTATTAAATAGTTAAAATATCTTGATTCTAATTTTTTAAAATCAAAACCCAAATATTTATTATTACTATTATTATTATTATTATTAATTAAATAATTAATTACTTATCAAACTGATAATTTTTATTAATTAGTAATATTAGAGATATGGTAATCTAGTAAAATGATTAGATTGTCAACTTTTTAAATGATAGATTAGATATTTAAATTTTATTGATAATAAAAATTTGGATAATTACCTATATAATATTTATATTATGACAACTGTTACTAATAATTGAATTAAAATATTTATAAAGCAGTTGCACTAATATAATTGGCAAATCATGAAACATTTATATAACTAATTATACAAAAGTATACAAACTAACAAATTAGATAATACAAATACTAGATAAGTTCTTGTAACTATATAAATCTGTTGAAAATGAATAACAAAAAGTTTATTTGAAAAAACTTAAATAGAGAAGTAGTTAGATCTTTAATACCCTATTGTAAAGGCTAGTCTGAAAAAATGAATACCAAGATTGTAGTATTATTTAGACAAACAAGAACCTCTAGGTTGGAAATCTTAGAGGTACCACTAATCAGGCTGTTAGAATAAACTGAAAAAAAATATATTAAACTAATTTAAGGTTATGCTATAAAATAAATGCTAAAGTTGGGTTGTTATTCTCTAAATGGCAGATCTAAGGTTCAAATCCCACCTATGACGAAATTTGAAAATTATATCTGTGATATGGAAACTGTCTACTGTTGATCAGTTGGCCTCATGCGGCTATAACCCAGGTACACCAAGTTGGGGTCCTACTGACATTAGAAGCTCAGGGCATCTATGCAAAGTGTAACATTACACAGTACATGTATATAAAGGAATGTTAATAACTGGTGTTGCATAAGACTTCAGTGCAAACTTACGATAAGACCACCGGGCATAGAAGACTAAGGAACCGAGGAGATGAAATCCCACTTGGAAATTCCCAAGTAAAGAGGTAGAACAAACTTTCAATGGTGCTGTTGGACTGATGGAAGCCTACGAAACACCTTCATAGGAACCAAAGATTAAAACTGAACATCAAAATATGTAGAGAAGCACATAACCAACCAGACCATCAGATTTGCCAGAGGAAAAAGATACAAAGGTATATCATACTGGGCTATCTGGATTAGTAGTCTGGAATGAGACTGACAGTTCTA